TTTTGCATAATCACAATGTTCACATTTAAAATTATAGTTTGACGTTTCAATCTTTGGTGCTTGCAGACCTTTTTGAAGTGTATAACAGTTTGTTTCGTTCCCTATGTTTCTTCCGTATGTATGGTTGGTTGCCTGTTAGAATACAGTACAGATTCAGTATTTAAATTTTAAAAACCAGTATTGTCCTTGTCCTTGTGATAAAATTCCTTTACCTTTTATCTTCTTTTCCGGTCACTTTTTGATTTGACAATCGTCTGTCCTGCATGGGTTTTATCAATACGCTTGAAAATTTGCATCCCTTAATTATTTAAGGATCTCCGAGTTTATTGGTGTTATATTTCAACTTTACTATCCATTGGAAACGTCTTGGTAGCTCTGTGGTAGTATTTTTGGATTTTCGCTTTGCGGTTCTGTAACCACATGGGGGTTGGCGTCTACTTTTAGCTCGATTACCACCTTAAGAGGTATGTTCTATTGCTTTTTACCTTCTCTTATATGTTCCTTACAGCTTTTTGTGTGGATTGTTGGTACGTCCAATGACGACATCCCGTACCTAAAAGTTAGGTGTATTTACGTCACGTTAGTCGTGAACGTACCCTCTTCCGTGTGTTTTCTCTCTCTCTACGACTGATATCTTGCCGACCAACGATATCTGGATCACCGGTTACATTCCGAGTCGACGTGCTATCCTGCCACTGTCCGTGTAGTGTAACGGAGTAACCACTACAACCAGCAAAGGAAGTAGATGTCCGGTAGCCAGTCCTTACCTCCAGCTTGATCGTCCTCACGGGCAAGGTCAGACCGTCTCTGTGTGTGTGTCCTAGTGTTGTCCTACAATCTTAATTATAATGAGGTTACGTTCCTCTATTTATTTATAAAACAGTACTTACATTTGACCTATAATTTTGTGTACCCAACGATTCTTTAATTTATGTTATTATTGTAAATCTTTCCGGTTAACATAACCACTACTAGCACTGTCACTTTTTGTCGCTATTTGTAAACAATACATCTGTCATACCTTGACACCCAACAAGTAAAAGTGTAAGGAGTACACCAAGGAGCACCCCAAAATTTCCTTGTTGTAGAATACCCGCTGTCAGGTGTGTTTTAGGGTACCCGTGTAAAGAAAAGGCCTTTTTATTTACCGCCAGGTCCCTGTGCGTCATTTACCTTTTTTTTGGTTTATTTATGAAATTGGTTTATATATATATTCAACATCACTTGGTTGCGACCCAAACAAAGTTTCGCTGTACCGTCGTTCATTTCCCTAACCTTCTTCCTTCTTATTTGCACTTAATTTTAATTTTAATGGCCGGATTATTCCATTTGTGAATACTACGATTTATTTATGAATTATTAAAATTTACCCAAACGTAACTGTGGTACATTTATGGTCGTATTTACTTGTTTTGTTGCCTATCCTTCTGTATTCTCTTTCAGGATTTTCTGTGTTTAGTCCCTTTCCTTCCGTTTCCTTTAAAACACAGTGGCGCTTCTTGTCAATCTACCCCCGCGAATCCCTGAGCTGAGTGACCATCGCCTCCAGAGTAGAGCTAGACCGGAGCAATACCGGTCCTGGTTTGCGCCAAAACCAAACCGTCATAAGTGTAGAACCAAAATATGAGGAAGATGTTATTGCTTACATTATTATACGAAGAATCACCAGCAATTAACCGAAAACACAAGTAGCTACCTATACCTACCATCAAAGTAGGAAATCAGGTTTCTAGTAATTGTAGTAATAAGGTCTTGGAAGCCACAGTTACGAAGGACCTATTGCATTTGACATTATTAAAATCTTGTGCAGCGGAGGAAGTTGCAATTGTACTTTTACTCTCAAACACGCCTGCTCTTATATCATATATGACTTAGGGTCGCAACGCTTACAGCTTCCAAAATTTCATTTTGGGTATCTGAACTGTCGCTATCACCCATTTTGATACGCACAAAACACAGGCAAAGATGCTAATTATAATTTATTACATATGGCAGGAAATGCTTTGTTTTTAATTATCTAAGATAACTATGATTTTCAGAAAAAATATGTTTATGAGCAAATTTTTGAATTCTTTTTTGATGATCGCCTAAAAAATGTTGTGTGCACCTTGGCCAAAAGTGATTTGTTAGGCCTCATCTGAATTGCGGCCTCGGCTACCGCCTCGGCCACAAACAGCAGCTTCGGCCAAAAAAGATCACTTTTACGGCCTTGGTACACAAATAACTATTTCCTGCCGTCTGTAACTTTACCGGCCGTATCTGTCGCTTTACCGGCCGCACCTGTGACTTTTCCGGCCGCACTTGTCACTTTGCTAAATGCATATACCACAGCCGTCTATAATTACTAGACGGTTGTGCATATACTGACTACTATCATCACTGACAGATTGACGTTAATCAAAAGTTTTTCTGTCAATGGATGACAGTTAGAAGAATGAGATTTAAAAAAAGGTTCTTTCAAAACCGAGTTCAAAACCTGATGTCTGAGAGCAGTTTTGCACTGTTTTTAATTTTGGAAAAAAATTCGGCGCGGACGGAAAAAAACTATTTAGTGAGTATTCCATATTTCAGGGCGTTCTTCTTTACTTGGAATTATTCTGAAGGTTATTCCCATAGAGATTTCGCCATTCTGCTTACAATTGGACTTCCAACCTTGTTTTAAAAAACGGTCGTACTTGACTAATGATGCTAGTTCTGTTTTCTAGGTTAGACTGTTGTACCTACTAATTATTCAGTCGGGTGGTCTGCACCAAGGAACAGAATTTAGGTATAAAAACAAATTTATGCTAATCTTGAATACATTATTAAAATAAATTCGTCATTTAGATAGCTTCTGTTAATAGATTTTATAATATTAAGTGCACGCCTGCATCTCAAGGATATTTTTGTGGCCCGGAAGAATAGCTTGCAGAAAATTCTACAGATGTTAACGCTTTATGAACATAGTAATAATCAAATTAATGAGTTTTTGCTGTATCACCAATGAAGATGAATAGATGAAGACTGCCATCAAATGCGTAGGTGACTAGGAGTATCCATACCATTTTGCATTGTAATAGGTGCAGAAGACAGATTTTGACCTACACGTCGTATACAGGCTGTTTCACGCAAACCGTTACCTAAAAGTATTTAGACTCCCATTAATAATTTAAATCTACCAATTTGCATACCAGCATAATTTTTATGCTCTAATATCGAAAGAAAATATTATCATGATCGTTCCGGTACAACCGGAAGTGAAAAACAACTTTCTTATTTTAAATGGAACACCCTATATTTTATTACATTTTCCTCGGCATATTCCAAATCTACATGAAAATCTACGTCGTTTGATACCACATTTCCCTATACCTAGCAACAAAGGTTTTCAAATTATTCAAGATTTTTCAACATTTTCGACGTTGGACTGTTTTTTTAGCGCCCTGTACCTATGGCTCTGTGGACTTGAATTTCAAAAGTCTTCCAAAATTAACAATACTGATGTTACACGCGAATGATTTAAATTTTGATCGCCTTTCTACAGGGTGTTTTAAAATTAATGCAAAGATCATACTACACTAGATAGCCAGCGTATATGCAAGAGTTGTTTCGCGTTTACATAGTTCCATAAAAATATTTATAGGGGGCTTTCAAAGTTAAGAACGTAACTGATTCATCCGAAGCCGTCTTCGTACGAGTTCGAATCATATCATAAATACAAAGGATTATTGTCTAAACACGAGACACATAAACATGACCTACAGAACACTCCTCACTATCATTGGGATAAAATTACATTTGTACGTGGGCGTCATTCAAGACAAGGTACGAGTAGATTCTATTTCAGACAGGACGTTACAATGAAAGAAATAATTTGAAAGGTTGTACACAATATTCTTATTCCCTTTGCTTTTTTTTTAACCAGCGCTAACCAATACATTTTCCAGATTTTCGGATTAAATTAATAATTGCAAAAGCGTCTTTTTTCTTAGCATAATTTCTGAAAACTTTTAGTTTCACGTATCTACGATACAAATCAGGTGACCATATCAACGGGTTTACCTGACCTTGTGCCCATTGGTTATGGTGTAGGAACCATTATTTAACCAATAAAAACCATTATTATTATTATTATTATTATTAAAAATCTTCAAATATAATATGCACCTACTTATCCAGGCATATTTACATTGTAAGCACAGATTTATCTAATTTAGATTTGTTGTAATTAAGCATTTTATGATTGGGATAAACTAGATATCCCGCTTAGCCTCCTACATAATAAAATTGTGTCCAGCTAAAGTGAGTCGGAACTAGAAGCGTCTGTGGTTAAAATTTCAAAGAAATATCTCCATAAATATGAAAGTTGGCATTGCGCAGTCTGCGCAAAATATGGAAAATATGAAACTGATCGAAATGGGCAAATATAGACCATAACGGCTATCAATTAGCGAAAACCCGAAGTCTGTAGGTGGCCCAGGGGCCGAGATCTCGATGGAACGGACGGACGGACAGACGGAAACACGAGCACATAAGCTTTACCTCAACTTCGTTGTGTTACGATAAAAAATTTAATTTTTATCCTATACAAGGAGAAACTTACATTTTCTCGCCTGTGTGAGAACGCGAAAGAAGACAATTGCACGCATGGAGCGAGAAAATTCAATTTTGTCGGCTAGCCGAGAAAAAAAATACGCCTTATGTAAGCTAGATGGCGCGGTTGTAATAAAATTTGCAGGAAGCGAAATTTCTTTTTAATTGAACAAAGAAGATAATAAAAGCAGTTTAACATTGACTTAATAATTAACTTTTACCTTGTATTTATTTCATTTTACTGAATCATCGATTATAATGCACTATAATCCTGACATTCATTTAATTACATACCTACCTACTCCACCTTCTGTATTTAGAATAGACTTTCCCAATATCACGTGACCAATTCAAACGTTTGAAAGAAATAAAGATTTGCATTTTTTTGATATTGTTACAAAATTTATTAATTGCTAGTGTATTTTACAATGGCGGAGTTATTAGCAGGCCCTTCCAATCTTCACGATGACAGTTCAGATTCATTAATTTGCACACCTGAAGAAATTTCCGAGAAAGCTAAAGAAGTGACTCTGCAATTATTACCTAACAAATCAAAAAAAAAATATGATATACAGTACGATCTTTTTATGAAATGGTGCGCTACCAAACATGTAAAAAGATACAGCGAAAGCGTAGTTTTAGCTTACTTAAGTGAATTATCGGCCAAATACAAGTCGTCAACTTTATGGTCGATACATTCCATGTTAAAAGCGACGCTATCAGTACGTCAGAATGTAGATATTGGAAGCTACGTAAAGGTAAATGCTTTCTTGAAAAAGCAATCGGTAGGGCACATTCCAAAAACATCGAAAACCTTTACATCAACTGAAGTGAATACGTTTTTAAGAGATGCCCCAGATGACATCTATTTGATGTTAAAGGTAACTTGTAAGCATAGAAATTTGTTGCTTAAACTAATCACACAATTATCACAGGTTGTTCTAATAATTGGAATCAGCGGAGCTTGTAGAACGGATGAACTGACCAATTTGTGCACAAATAACATCCAAGACAAGGATGACGTTCTCATTGTGCACATTCATAACACCAAAAACTATAAAGAGAGAACCTTTATAGTTTGCAACTCCAATAAAACGAACGCAACAGACGTGGTAGCAATCTGTAAAAAATATTTTAGTTTACGACCGACAAATTTGAATACAAACCGACTGTTTATTAAATATAATGCTGGGAAATGTGTTGGGCAAAACGTTGGTCATCACACAATTGGTTCCATTCCTTCGAAGATTGCTTCTTTTTTAAATTTGCCTGATGTAAAGGAATACACAGGTCACTGCTTCCGGCGGACATCGGCTACACTCCTTGTGGACTCAGGTGCGGATATACTGACCTTAAAAAGACATGGTGGATGGAAAAGCAGTTGTGTGGCGGAGGGATACCTTGAGGATTCCATCCAAACCAAAATTTCAGTTGCGAAAAAGATCTTAAGTACAACTGAAAATTATGAAGAACCCAACAGTAATCCTCGAGCAGGGGCTACACTTACAACAAATGAGCAAGAAGTGACAAGTCGATGCTCCTCTCTAGGTGCTTCTACTTCCACTTCAACCTTTTCTGAACAAATACAAATGTCAGATTTATCTAAACAAGGCTCATTTTCTAATTGTACACTCAATAATCCGGTGTTTAACATTACAATTTCAAACAAGTAACACCAAACGTGTATATAAAATCTTTGTAGGTTCATATAATAGTTTTAGTAGTTTCTTTTGCAATTTATATTAAAGGATTTGAAATGATTTCTAAAATTTACACGTGCTTTATTACTTACAACTTACAAGGTTACACCGTCAAATGACAAATATCAATAAAATGAACGAATGCGTGTGCGCAAGAACATTTTACATACCGCCTTACTCTATTCTGCCGACTACGCGACATACAAACGCGTATTAATCATTGCCTAAAATAATTTTTAATGTGGTCAATAATAGCACAGATTAACTACAAATAGTATGACCCAAAACAAAATTTTAACCCTTAAATGATAGACAATTCCTGCCGGCGCTATTTTTCTTCAGTATGCTAGAAAATACGACTCCTTCTAACACCGTTTGAACATGCACAAATTCTTGTCTGTTATTTAGTGCTATACTTGTCTGGTACGTCATACGGGCATCATTTTAAATGTAAGTGTATAGGATAAAAAATATTGTGTGCACCACGGCACGAAAGATGTTTTCCGGGCCTCAGGAATTGGCCAGCCTCGGCTACGCCTCGCCTGGCCATATCTTCCTTCGCCCCGGAAAACATACACTTTCCCGCCTTGGTACACAAAGTACTATTAAAACAAGATGTGAATATTCGGAATTTTAATTTACAGTAAGGTAACCAGATAAAAACATCTATAACACCCACACAAGGTTGCGCTTAAGAATGACACCGATATCCCATACAATAGCCCTTTATTCTAAAAATAACTGTGCTTTGCCATTTCGCGCGTCTTCTTACCCCGCCAGGTAGTTTGTACTATTCTCATAAAAACATAGCCGCTGGAGGACGCAGTCGACTTATGTGGCGGGACGAATTATGAGAGTCTAAAATTTATACAGCGCTGTCTATCTAGTGTAGTATGATCTTTGACTAATGGTCACGTTTAATAACTTCGAACCTTAAAAAGTTGATTTTTTCCAATGAAACCTGCTTTATTTTTTTGCACTTTCAAATGTGGGAAAAAATTCTACATCGAGCAATTATTACATTCCCTATACATCTCTGTAATGGTTTTTGTTTTATTTCAGATTTTCTAAAATTGTTAACATTCGCTACTTATATTATTATATTACATTATATAATAATACTTGACTCTTTAACAAAATGAGGAACCCCGCTTTAAATGACTTTTAATGACAAACTACGTCTTCAAACGTTTTACAACCGTCGCGAACCAGTCTCGTTTTTACGTTGATTTCTGTATTTAACCAAACACCACTTCTACAATAAAACAATCGTCTTCCTCAAGATCTTTCAAAAAACATTGCCAATCACAATTAGACTTGATAACGTCAGCTTCGAAGAAACGCGTCCCCACTTGCGCCGAACTAACGCGCACATAATAACTTCTGCATCCCCGTTATCTCTTCGAACCTATCAAAACACATGCGTGAATTAAATTTCGTCAGATAAGACTCCTTATTGAAGTACGCAAGCGTGACCAGATATGCCTACATTTTAACACGCAATTTCACGTTTTACAATTAAATTACAAACAATTCTAAAAGTAAAAATAACATCGAGAGACAAATTCAAGAAAAATAAACCAACTTTGCGGTTATTGGTAAACACTCCCTATCTCTCCCCGATTTACACTGAAATATTGTCATATACAGGATGTCCCGTCATTTTTTGTGTTGAGACCGAAATAACGTCTACATGACGTTGTTTACACAACAATATATATCGAATCTATTGGTTTTTATTTTGAGATTAGATGTGATACGTAGTGGACAAAAGTGATCAAAAGATTTGCTACCCAGCTTGCTCCCTAGTTCAGTACACTATCGAATTTGGAAGGCGTTGGTCATTTGATTGAAATTTTGAATAGCTAGAATTGAGCGGCATATGGTAAATAGCACCAACCTGGTATCTCGATTAACACATGAGGTAGTGAACGCCCAGATTTGATCACAACCTACATTTAGTCACAACTGCCTTTAGGTAAATCATAGAAAGCACTGTATTTTTTATGGTTTTAATTACCTAACATCTTCTATCTACAACTAATATATAATGCGAGTATTATACGGATGGTTTGTTCGGTATAATGCCATCCATTATTACCTTAGGGATTAATGACCAGGGATTAATAGCTAGTAGTAACGACGAAATAAAATGTTTTACCTAACGGGTTGCAACCTCTCCGAGCTCAGAAGGGTGCTTTCTACCAATAATCTGCAATTAAATAAAACTAAATCAAAAGAGACGCGAGTGATAGTGCCACACAAATTAACGTTTAGTACGTTGGGTGACTCGAATACAACAAATCATAACTCATTTTCCAATAATAATTCCATTTACGTGAGATATGATTTACGTGAGATATGATTCGTCATAAGTCGTCGGTATAAACGGCAATTCAAAAAACTAACCGTTAATGCTCATTCAAAAATATTTTACAAAGCAAAAAATGACTAAATTTGTATACAACAAAAACAAAACTAATTGATTTAAAATATAAGTAAATTGACACGAGCAAACTCTTTGTAACGACAAAATTTATAGTACATGAACTCGAACGTAACTAGGTCGTATATCGTAATACTTGCGATTAAAATTCAGGAACAATATTCAGGAAAAAATCTCGGCGGTTACTGGAGCAAATATCACGTGATTTCGCTTATGTCAAAATTGTAGATTGTGTGGAAAATTTCAAAAGATTTTGTAAGCCAAATTCCACGTAGATTTCTCACACAGAATATCGATGTAGATAATTTTCGTATGTTTTAGAAAACAAGAAGTAAAGCAAAAGGAGAAAAAAAAAACCTAAAAGCATTATTCAAAGTCAAACATATTGAACAATTGCCAGTACATACCGTAAAAAAAATCCGCAAAAGCGTTTCGATGAAGTAGAAATATCAAGCTACCAAAAATTCAATAAACCGAGACAAAAGCATTCATATTCTCCAAGCAATTACATTAAGACAAAACATAAAAAGCGTCTATTAATTATTTTTAGCGTTTTAATTGACGTAAAAGAACAGAAACAGCATTAATTCTTTTAGTCGTCTTAAAAAGCATTAAAAAGATTAATTTTAATATAGCGCGTGTTAATTATTCAAATATGGAATTTTTCCAGTACGATGCCACCATTTTAATCTCGATTTTGATTTAAAAAACGAAATTGAAAGTGATGTAATTATAGTAATGGAATGTTTAAAAATGTTACCTAAGAGTAAGAATAAGTTCACTTCAAAGACATTCTGGTGCGCTTTTTGTACGTTTTCAAAACGGTAACCGTCAAAATAGATCAACTGAAATAAAACATGTCACAACAGATACATCTTCTTAATTAGTGAGCGTATAAAATGGAGTTGCAAAGATAGGATAAATTGTAAACCATCAGGGATGGGTTTAAAATTTGATCGAGTTTGTTATGAAATTTATAACAAACACAAATTATTGTTCCTACATTACGGCTCTCTGGAGCACAATTGCTATTATTACAATTTACAACATGATGCGACGGGACCTATATAAACAGTTAAATTGTAGGTCACAAAAACATCCGAACCATTTCGATTTAATTACAAAACTAGTTATTAATTTTATGTTCGTTTTTACGTTTCGATCAATTTACATAATGTCTGTATGTAGAGATTTTCGTTTCGAATCACAGACAATTAATACCGCGAGCTTCTCATAACTTGTTTCCAGCTCGACTGTTGTTACGAGTGTAACGAACTTTGCCCAATTTTATTGGCCAAAAGTGGAATAAAAATCGCGCCGAAATTAATCGCGACATTCGTATGCGAAAAACGTGTCCGATTATCTAAAAATGGAATTCTTTAATGTTCAAACTTTTAACAGCAAAACGCCGATATAAATTTGCGGCGCTTTTCGGAAAGCTCGAACTGAAATTTGCGGAATTAGCTATGACAAATTAAAATGAAATTTTCTTCGGATATAAAACACTTAATTAACCCAACCTGGGATTTGGTTTTCTAAGGTAGGCAGCTTCTGTACAGAATACGAATTTTGTTCGGAAGTATTTTAGCATAAATTAATGTTTAAATGGACCTTCTAATTTGTTAACAAAGCGACTTCGTAACAGCGTATTCAGATGCAATTGCCGCTAGTAACGTCTACAATAAATCATATTACAGCGCGGAGGTAGCGTCTTATGAATTTATATTTAATATGAATACAATGGAAACACATAACAATAATAATAATAATATAACTAGCCCTAATACAAATCCACGAGGAACACCACAACCGATAACAAACACAAGAGCAATTCCAGGTCAACATATTTTTCCTCGGGATTATTAATTATTCAGTTCTCTATCGACATATCCTCTCCATTTTCCACGCTTATTTAATTAAAGGCACCCACGACAAAAAAAATATGAAAGAAAAAATATGGGTTGTAAGAGGAGGGGGAGGGGGAAAGGTAAAAATAACAAGAAGACATCCAGACAAACAATTTGGAATAACAGACGGAAAAATATGGAATCCGCGTAGGAAAAAAGAATATAAAATCCTAATTACTTACGGAGTGAGTGCCAAAACATTTAATTACAATTAATTATTAATGAATTTATAACAGTCTTGTATACAAATTTATAACATAAGAGAGCGTGCTTGACTAATAATCACTTCGGCGTCGATGTTGGAACTGAACCTAAACACATTTCGATTTTGTATAGCAAAGGGAAAGTTTCTAGAAATAACGAACATTCTTGAGAATTCTCAAATATATGCGAAGTCGGGATATCTCATTACTCGGAAAGGATGCTTTCGTTTCTTACCGCCGGTGACTTAATATTTTATAACACCTCGATGTCTGGGATATTCGTTACAATGTTTAAGGGCATGACATAAGAACATAAAAATAATAGCGAGGTCTATATGTGGAAATGAGGGATGTACCGGGTAACCCAATAAGACTGTTCCTCGGTCATATCTCGGGAACCGTTCGTCGTAAATTATT